GATATAAATAAAAGCATGTTATTCTAGAAATATATTATGTCATTATTTAGATTAATTCTATATACATATATTATCGAAATTCATATATCTATAAATATAATATATAAAAATATATAAGAATTGAGAATGATATCATCAAAAGATAGGTTGCGAGAAATCTAGAGAAAATATTATTCTTATAATCAAGAAAATGATTATCGAATAATTGAATATATGAAATTAATAATATAATCTTTAAATCTTTCTAATGCTTATCAATAAATATTATAGCAGATATAAATTATCTTATATTAATTTCATCAAGGAATTTGAAAATTTAAAATCTAAAAGACAAATTATGGTTTATACTTATTTCATAAAATCTAATTATTCTTGTTCATAATAAAAGAAATATTTTAGATCGATAATCTTTTATAAATCTATCTAGAATCTTGAAGCCCCGAATCCCGAACCCAACGTCCCCGAATTCCGAACTCAAATTTGAACTTCGAATCCCGATCCTCCCGATCCGGAACCGTGAATCCTGATCCTTGAAGTCTGACCCCTGAACTCCAATCCCGAACCTCGAATTCCGCCAACCCCGAACCGCAAAATCCCGAACACCGAACTCCAATCCCGAACCCTGAATCCTGCACCCACCCCGAATCCCAAACTCCGAATCCCGAACTCTCCGCTCTTGAACCTCGAATCCCGATCCGGAACCCTGAATCCTGAACCCGCGTTCGAACCCTGAACCTCGAACCGGGTTCGGGATTCGGGTTCGAGATAAATTCGAGGTTCGGAATTCGAGATTCCTGACGATTCAGGAATTGCTCCCATCTCCAATATTAATACGCGCCTGGGATCTAGAGAGCCCAATAAATAATAACTATAATATCTAAAAGAATAAGATATTGCTCAACGAATCATTATTAGGCAGATTTATTGCTATTCCCATGATTTCACAAATTAAAAAGACTTATAAATATGAATTCGATGATTATGATATTAATAATAATTAATGATGATAATAATGATAATGATATTTATGATAAAGACAATAGCCGAATCGATCCAAATATAATATCTTGGTTCCGTCATATGATTACCATAATATCGAATTACTATTCAATAGAATCTATTTCTTAAATTTAAATTTCAAGTCGTTATCAAGATATTATCTCACTCAAAGATATGAAGAGATATTTAGAAGTATTATATAGCGCCAGCACTGAATAAGAAAATATTGAATAAGAAATCCAGCCCCTGAATTTGCGCGGACCTATACTAAAATCTGAGAAAAGCAAGCAAAAAGAAATAAGAAATTCAGGGGCCCCTACCCCGAAATCCAATCTTTTATCTAATTTCTTAAATGCTGCCCTTCAGATTAAAACCTGTAGCAAATCAATGAGAATTTCGGAATTCGCCCGAAGGCAAGCAATAGAGGCGAAGATATGATATCCGGTCGCTTGGACGGATTTAGGATTCCTACAACAAAATGGCGAGAGTTTCGGAATTCGTCAGGCAATATGTGGAAGACTGAAGACTTGATCTGGGATTTTTATCAAAAATCCAAGAAATGAGAAATTTCAAGGCTGAATTTCTATGTTCTTTGATTTTCGGCCGGACCAAAAGCACAGGAAATAAGAAATTTCAGGGATTGAATTTCTTATTTCCTTGAATTTCGGCCGGTCCAGAAAGGAAATAGGAAATTCAACGACTAGTCTTCTTATTTCTTGCCTGGCCTAGAAAGATTCTACAGCGTTTGTTGCTCAGAGTGGCGAACTACATTGGCCGGAGACGGAAGATCAATAATTTGAATCTCGCCATTCTCCAAAAGGTGATTCATAACCGCTCCGGACTCTTCGTCTATATTCACCCCTAGATAGCATCAGATATGAACGAGATATGAAATTAAAGATGCCCTAATCCGGGAATTATTATATATGCCCCTAAAACCAATACTATCTAAATAAGAAACTCAGAATATCTTGCCTCAAATTAAATAATTTCTTATCTAATATCGTCTCTATATATCTATTCTTCAAAGAACTATATTATCAAATATATATTTCGAAATATCATTTTAATTAATAAAATTCTTTAGAAATTTATCTTTAACAAAAGATGCAGAAAAATTAAATTAAATCAATGAATTACAGCTTCTCATTTTATAAAAAAAAATTTATGAAAAGACTCATATATTTTTCGAAATTCATATATTTCAATCAAATAAATTAATTAAATATATTTTAGTTTATAAATATTTCAAAATAATTTCTATAGAATTTTTTCATGATCTAAAAGAATTTCTATATTTTCTAAATTCAGAATATATAATGAAATCTTAATATCCCGACGATATTTGAACTTGTATATGTTATTCGCCTTTTCCAGATGTATCTTGAGTTTTCTAAATGAATATAATAATTAAAATTATTCTCTTTGGTGAAGAAAAATATTTTGGGATAAATTAATATATTTATATATGATTTTTATAGAAAATTCGATTAATTAAATATTATTCATCTAATAATTTCAATCTTGGGAGCTACCCTTATTGGTTCCAGGCGTTGGTGACATTCCGTTCAGTAGTTTAACATTGGCCTCGCGAATTGTCTCGTATACTCTTCTGAGTATCGTAGCGCATCGGGCAAAACATGACCAGAGCCGACTGTACAGGCTCGAAAGACTGAACAAAGTGACATTTCCTCACGAACGAGCACTGCCACTGGTTTTTGCGGCCTCACCCTTCCCGATTACCAAGAAACTGTAGCATATACAGAAAAAACGTGATGAAGTCTAGGTAGAGATTCCACGCTGCAAATGCATACATGTCAATGGTGTACTCAAACTGCTTGCTGCTTCCGCCAAATCCCAGGGAAGCTGTGCCGAAGATCAGTTGGGTGTCGTGTACAATAAGCATACCGAAAATTGTCGCACAAATAGCACCTGCAAGTCTGCTGAAAAGTGTTCGATCTGGCAGCAGAAAGTACATTATGATCAGGAGCACGAGGCCAACTCCCACGACCATCATATGGGGCCCCCAGCCAGTAAAATCCGCTGATGTTCGGACTGCGTAGATCGTCAGGCAGACAACCATGATCAAAGTGAGGGCAAAAACTAAGAGCACGGACTCTGCTGTGTAGCTCGCACAAATGTAGCCGACAAGTACTCCGAAACAAACGGAGAACACCAGCAAGTACAAGTAGTTCCATGGAGCGGTAACCATCATCTTCAAATAGCCCCGTATGAGGCTAGAGCCGCCACAACAAAGTTGGCACGACATTGCGCAATCGAAAAACAGCTGTGCCACAACGATGGCACCGACAATGTACACAATCCACATGTTCGCTCTGAGGAAATCCTTATATATCAGCATCAACAGAACTCGGTGCTCTCTCATTTGCGGCTCGTCTACGTATTGGCAAGACGAGAGCAGTCGCCTTAATGCAACCGACCTACTGCAGCTACTGAACAGTAACACGCAAAATTGCAATACTGACTGCAGCTACGAAATTCCAATGTCGCATCCTTCTGGAACACGAAAAACTGAGCGAGGCCGAATGTGATGAGCAGCATGGTGCCGAGTATGCCGTAGACTTTCTTCACAAAGCCGAGGCGGATGTCTGGAGGAAGCGCCGAGTTCTTGCATGACATCTGCACGACATTCAGATCATCGCGTACCACCGGCGGCTGTCCCCCGAAATTTGCGTCTTGTTGGGGCGGAATCTGTCCCATCTCATATGGGTTGCCAACCACCTTGCCCTGCACAACTGGTGCATTCTGCATGCTGCACAGGGCCACCTAGTATCACACAGCCGCTTGAGGCTGCCTTCCTTACCCAGTGGCTACAAAAAAACTAGATGAGATGGACTTTCACTCTTGTGCCAAACAGCAGGTTTCGATCATGTAAGACTCACCTGTGGACAACGCAAATCACCGCAAGCTCGTCGCGGTACGCAGCGTCTTTGCCGGCATGTCTCGCAGCGACACCTCTTTGGGCATCGAGCCGCCGCAGCCACTTCGTGGACATGTGGCGGCATTTCGGCATTCACGTGGCGAACTTCCCCTAGTCGCCCAGAGCTGTGTACAACAGTCCAAAGGCATCTTGACCTGGCGGTCGAGTCGAAACCCCAGCCATCAAGATGGATCGACACTCACAGCTCACTGTGCGGGGGATTGCTGAGGCTCTACCATGGGTCCAGACTTCGTACAAGTGGCAATCCAGCCAACTCTCGTGCGACATTGGCTTGTCGACCATGTGCGGGAGCTCGCCCAGCACGCTGAGGCCTCTGCACGGCAAGGCTGTGTCCGGAACGACGAGAAACGTCCAAGGCTGTGGTACAAATGTGTCCATGTCACGGAAGAAGTCTACGGCATAAACTCCAGTGAACGATAATGAAATCTAGCAGCCTAGATTGACGGATCAACTAACCTGACTGTTGATCTTTCTTGTGTTAGTAGTGCTGTTGCAGCCCGTTCTTCGGCAGTGCTAATACTCGTGGTGGTAGTGCTGGTGCCAGTGCTTCTTGAGTGAAGCACTGGTGTTAAACACTTCACCGCATGAACTCGCTTTCACACCTGCTGCTGTTGAAGACATGTCCAGGTGTCTAAGTCGTCACAAAGGAAGCTACTCAGCACCCATGCATCATGTAGCAGCCAGGAATGGACAGTCGCATAAACACATTCTTTTGGCTTACCAGCTGAGATGCGAGAGGAGTTCGACGATTTTATGGTCATCTTGCGCATGGCCATTCCGCCGAAATCACTTCCTCGACGAGCAGTCGAGGAGCGCGTAGCTTCGTCAAGGACGTCCTCTTCCTCCGAGTGCTCAACCACTTCGATTTTTTGAGGTCGTAGCGACAGCTGGGGAAGCCTCACATGTGGAACTGTTGCCTTCCGACCATTGAAGCAATCCCAATGCTCGTAGCTCTCGTAGCTGTCAGAAATTCCAATAAGTGGAACATCTTTTGCTTCCGCCAATGCCTGCTTCACACTCGCTTGCTTTGGTCCCTTTTGCATTTGGCCCTTGGCACGTCTGCAATGCGTCTGTACAGCCGCTGTCTCCCTCTCTTTGATCTTCCGCCACCGGTAGCGCCTAGTGGTTTCCAAAGCTTGCTGGTTTGCAAGGGCAAGTTGCTCTTCGGTAAAGCTTTGTATCCACAGTCTGTGCTCCGCGTGGTTCTTAAGAACATCGAGCCAGTCCTTCCTTGTGAGCTTCTGCACCGTGCAGGCAGTCTGAGCCTCTATGGTGGCGAATCGCTTGACAGCTGCTGGCGACAGGATAGATGGCACGCCCAACGTGCAACCTCCAGCAAGATCTTTCAACTTTCTTCCATCCACATAGAGGGTCACAACGGAAGCTGAGCTTATGATGATCATGCTGTCTGCAGGGTCTCCTTGGCGAATGATCGTTTCCCCTACGAAGAAGACCTGAGCATTGCATTTCGTGCGCAATGTATTCAGGAAGGACTTCGAGAAGTTCTTGAAGAAGGGATGCTCCTCCAATGGCTCCGGGGCAAGTTCTTTAAACCGCCTTTCAGCGATTTCGCGAAAACGTTGTCTGGCATCGGGATGCTGGTCTAGCAGGGTTAAGATCGCCGCGATGGGGATCTCGATGAGCTTGCAAAGCGTCACTGCTTTGATGGTTGCCAAACGGCGCTGCATCCCTGCAAAACCGTATGCGCCACTGATGCCTCCAACCAAGTAGCTGTCTCTGACCTCACCGGTTCTATCTGGGCAACCTCTCAAAGCCGGCTTGGTCTGACGATGCACCTTGGCAACTCCACTTTCGATGATAAGCGCATGTTCCACATGGTTTCCTTCCTCCACGATGGCTTCACCGGGGAGGCAAAACCTAACCTGCATGAAAGGCGCACAGGCCTCAATGAAGGCCTCAGTGCATGCAGCGAAAGGCTCGTGTCGACGTAGCACATTCAAGGAACTCCACCAGCTCAACCCCTGTCTCTTTTCCAGACGCTCCTGAAATAATGCCACACGTATCAAGAATGCTCGTGTGCTCTCGGGGCTCACTGCCAACAAAGACTTGATCTGCTCGAAGTTCACGCAAAAAACCTCACTGAGTTCCTCTGCCACCGTATCGATGTAGCCCGATCGGTCGAAACCGCAGATGATGAGGGGTGCGTCCAGATCCTAACATGGGCACCGGACTTCAAGCTTTGGGCACCTTTACGCTTTCCAATGATTTACTAACTTGGCCATGACAGGCATTTGCCGTGCACCAATCGCCAAACCAAAGTTGCCTTTTTTGATCTTTGTTCGAGCGGCATCATCCGAAGCCATCAGCCGGCCACGCGTCAGCACGACAAGGAAGTCTGCATTGGCGCCGTCCAAGTTCCGAAAAAGATGCTGTCCCGGGATCAGCTTGAAGCACTCCATGTGGGTGATGAGCTCTTGAAGGAAATCCTCCCCCAAACCATCGCAGAAAGGGCAGTACCAAAAAAGGCCACCCCCCTGAGCTCCATTTGCTCCGTCCCGCAAAGTTCGCTGAAAAGCCGCCGCACGCCCGCCGTAGCCACCGTGCTTTCTGGAATTGATCCGGTTGGCCTCGTTCACAATCACCGCCGTCTCCTCGGCTAGGCTTTCTTGACATGTCTTGCCGTGCCTACAGTACTTGCCATGCAAGTTCGGGCACCCGCTTGCAAAAAGAGGGCATTACTGGTACGTACTACATGCAGGACCTGTTTGGTGTGGCAGACAAGCATTCTGCTGTTGTGGGGTGAGTCTCGTGCGGATGTCGGCTGAGAAGGCTGAGCAACTTCGATTGCGAGATACGGAGAATCTGGCAAACTTCCTTTGCCTTCACTCGCCGAGGAGGCTCCGCTGCGTGACGATCTCCAAGCCAATTCATGCTGCTCAAAACTTCTGGAGCTTGAACCTTGTGTCGCTTCTCATTTTGGGCATGGCCCTGCATGAACAAGACCAGGCCGTTCGTAGCATCCTCATCTGCAGCAATGATGTCGTTGCCATGAAAGCACAAGGCAGACTCCACTGTTTGTGCAAGGTCAGACAGAAACTGCTTGGAGCACTTGGCGAAAATCTCAAGGCTACGAAGCCTGTGAATGCCGCACCTCTGCCACTCGCGATACTCTGCATTTGCCAACAAGTCGAAGCGCTTCTTCTCGCGGGGGGCCCGCTCGACAGCTTCCCGGAAGTCATCGACCTTGAGCAAGAGGAAAATGCAATCGGTCAATGCCACAGCTTGCCGGTAGAGCATAGCCTCGCTTTCAGTATAGTTTAAGACCGCTGGCTCGTTGAAGACTAGGCAGTAGGGCCCCGCCTTTGCTTGAACTGTACCTGTCGTCGGCTCGAGAACTGAAAGGGTCTCCGGCAAATCGTAGAGTTCCTCCACTTCGGAGCTTTCCGAACTGGATTCTGTGCTGGAGCTTCCGCTGGACAGGTCGGAGTTCTCTTCATTCTCTTCGTCCGTCACGGAGCTGCTGCTGCTGTTGCTGCTGTCCTCATCCAGCACAGGATATTCGAAACCGGACATGGACTTCGTTGCGGCAAAGGATTTCAACTGCTGTAGCGTTGTTGGGGACATTGGGCTGACAGGGCCGCTCAGGCGCTTCTGGGATCGGCTGGTTTCAGCCTCGTCCGAGAATTCAGTGCTGCCAATGGTCACATGCGTGGTTTTCCTCCTTTCGAACATCCTAGATTGGGTCCCTGATCGAAGTATGCTGGGGCTTCCGGGCACCTCATCATGGAGCTGGAAGGCATCCGTGCTGACTTTCTCCACCAGAAGAGTTCCCACAAGCACAACTTGCAGGTACTGCCTGGAAGTGGCTGGAGACCAAACCAGATTATGGGCTCTGACATGTCGAATAGATACCTTCTTGAGCAGCTGCTTGGCGAAATTTGGGCCGCAATGGGAGAGTAGCAGCAGTTTTGACACCCGCGGCCAAAGAATTCGCCTCTCCTGCTGGTCAACGAACTCATCCATCAAAGGCCCTGCAGAGGCATGTAGCTTAATTGTCTGCCGAAGATCTGCGGAAGGCAAGCACCATGCAATAACCGGAACTTGCAAGACTTTGATGGTGAAGGGCTGACGGTCACATCGACTGAAAGCTACAGAATCGCCAAAAACGCTGCCATTCTCCAATGTGCACAGCGTCTGCCCACTCTCAATGACTTCAACAGCTCCACGCGTCAATATCCACAGGTTAGAGAGCTCAGTTGATAGCGAACCCTCGTTCAAGATTACACGGCCCACTGTTGTAAACACCCATCGCTTGGATGCACGGGATATTCCCAGCACGACCTCAGCCACTAAATTAAACGATCACGCTGTCAGGGTCAAAAGCACTCTACACATTCACATCACACACACGCAGGCACACGAATCGGAAAGGCTGCATGAGACCTCCCATGATATCAACCAAGAAGGCTCGATTCTGACAAGCTGCCTCTTTACGTAAGCCACGGCAGAATGGGTGCGCACTCAGCACCTCAAAGCTGTCTGTGTCAATCTCAGCAAAAGCGGGCTCGAGGAGATCTTCCATGCCGACGATGAAGCCATCGTCAAAGGCATTTGCAAATAGTCACCTGAACTGTGCAAGGAGCTATAACTAAGCGAAGACAACAAACCTTTCAATTCGGCCCTGCAGCCCGGCGACAAAACACACTGGAGCGTCGGGGCAGCCAGTATTTGGCTGTACGTCCAACATGTCCGTGTGAATCGTGTGCCTTACACGTAGCTTGCCCTAGCAAGTGTAGCGTAGCGTGAGGAGTAAAGACTCCGTATAACTTCCGTATGACTGGAGCTGGTGAGCCGGTGAGCTCTGGTCGAGGCTGGAGCCTCAAAGCGATCAGGAGTCCATCGGAGCCCACGCATATTCTGTGTATCATCGACGCAAGATGTCACAGCAATCCTTGAAGGCAATGGCCAACGGTGACCAAACGTGACCAAGCTGGCCCTTTCCCCTTTTGCGACCGTTTTCGCACAGTTCCTGAAGCCCGCCACCGTGAACTTCTCCCGCGCTGGCGGGGCAGTGCCTGGGCGTCGGATGGTGAAGAACTAACATGCAGCATTTTGACTAATGGCCTGCGCAATCGTTCGTGTTGTTGCGCCAGAGTCCCGTGGAAGTTGCAGAGGAGGAAGCGCTTCCTCCATACCTTTGTGTTCGGTTCAACGTTCTACGAGTACTTTCCGGGTAGAGGGGAGTTTTACCATGAATGACCTCCAATAATCAAGGCAAGGGACCTGTTTTTGCAACTGTCTTGAAGGAGAAGCAGCTTGCCCGATTGACTACTCCGGTCCTGCGGGCGGGATCAAGGGCCACTGTTGAACTTGACTCGGAATGGCAGAATCCAGGTGGCGGCAGAAACTCTGAAATGAAAGCAAGTGTCACATATTTTCAGCACCTCCCGCTACAAAAGGAAACTTCACCATGCCGGATGCTTACGCTCGCAAATACCTGCCTTATTGCAGCGAAACGTAGCGAGCCCAACAACCACGTGAACAGAGCTTGACTGAACAGCACCTGCAGAATCTGAATTTGCCCATTGCCGCGTCCTTGCATCACGCAAGGTAGAGAAATGCATCTGCGGATCGCGAATGAGCTTAAAGCCAGCGGCCTTTGCCGATGCGCTTGTGCGATTTTCAGGCTAAGCTGTAACGACGCGGCGACCTCGACGTTAAGCACCCACTCCGGAGGCGGTCCAGCGCGTGGCCTGGCATCCAGGGTTCACAATGACGTTCGATGTCGGCAAGGATGTCTCGAAGATTGGAGTTTGGGTAGAGGTTGGGTGCTCAAACGCTGCCTGCGAGTTCTGAGCAGTCCAAAGTCAGCAAGATCTACACCAATCATTCCGTGGCCCTGGGCATAAGGAGCCTTCCAATGGCAGCAACCTGGCGGACGAGTGCTCACAAGGCTACGAAGATGCAAAAGCTCTCAGTCACTGACGGTATCTGCCACGACGAGGAGCCCGGGCTCCTCTGTCAGCAGCTCACGGGCCTGGCGCGAAACGTTTTGCGTCACGTTGGCTCAACCCGACTCGGCAAACCCAAACGCAAGTTTGGGAAAGGTGCCCATGCGCCTTGGAAATCACCAGTGTGCGAGTGTTCGGGTCAGGCATGTACCTCTGTCAGTCTCGCGAGACACCCTCGCACTGGAAGAAGCAAAGCTCCCGATGCTGTGCCGACCTATGTTTAAGCGCATTCCATGGATTTCTGATTATTCCAAGGAAGGTATCCGCCGAGGCCACAGGCCCAGGC